GACTAGATTTCTCCATCAATTTTGAAGCTTAGTTTAGCAGGATACAGAATTCTGGACTGAAAATTGTTTTGTTGAAGAATGTTAAAGGTGGATGACCATGCTCTTCTGGCTTGGAAGGTTTCAGTTGAAAAGTCTGCTGTCTTCCCAATGCCTCTGCCTCTGAAGGTGAGTTAGCACTTACTCCTGGTTGCTTGCAGAATTTTTTCTTTCATCTTGACTTTGGACAGGTTCATTAATTTGTCTTGGAGAGGCTCTGTTTGATTTGAGATGACCTGGGATTTGATATTCATCTGAAAGGGGTGCATCAGGGTCTTTAGTAAAACTTGGGAAGTTTTCCTTTATGATGGTTTCCATTAGGGCTTCCATTCCTTTGGGGAAATCTTCTTCCCCTTCAGGAATCCCTATTATTTATATATTTGAACACTTCATGGAGTCTCGTAGTTCTCTAAGCACCTGTTCTGCTTTCTCTCTCTCTCCTTTTCTGCCTCTTTAACTACCTGGGTTAACATGAAAACTTTATCCCCTAGCTCTGAGGTTCTTTCTTCTCCATGGTCTAACCTATTTTTGATACTCTCTACTGCCTCTTTATATTTCCTGATCATTTCCTGCCTTTCCTTAAGCTCTGCTCTTTTCTATATTCTACATATCTCTCATCCGATTTTTGGTTCTGTCTTTCCATTTTCTCATCCATTCCTTTTATTGTCTTTATCATCCATATTTTAAATTCCCTGTCAAGTCCATTAATTCTTTATAGGTGGAGTCTTCTGCAGTAGCTGCCTCATGGTCCCTTGGAGGAGTTCCTCTGTTTTGGTTTTTCATGTTGCCCCAATATTTTTGTTGGTTCCTCCTCATGTATTGTTTCTTCTTGTTTACCTCTTTGTTCTCCTTTTTACTTCTCACTGCCTCCTTTGTTTTAAACAGAAGTCCTTGCTCTTGATGACAGTATGTTGCAATGTGTTGCTAAGACACCAGGTGGCACGGTGTTTTTTTGTTTGTTTGTATGTTTGTCTGTTGTTTATTTTTGGAGACAGAGAGCACAGTCTGCAACCTCTATGGTCCTTATTCCAAATTTACCTGCCTTCAGTGATTGCCTGATTGTTTCCTCAGCATTCAGACCCGCCATGTTGGGATCTTAAAGTTCACAAGAATCTTACTGACTCCAGTAAGAATCTTACTGCCCCCTGACTCCAGTTCCAGTGGGGTGCAGGCATCCCTCAGCCTGTCCCAAGAGTGGAGTTCTAATCCCAGCAGGCAGAATTAAGACGACCATGCTTTAGGTCCATACTAAGACTTTCTCACAAGCTTCCCACAATGGCAGTTCCCTGGCCAATGAGACCTCAGTATAGCTGCCAACCAGCATTCAAATCTGGTTTCTGTATACTGCTCAAGTCTTCCTACTCTTCCAAGTTTTTCACTTAATACACAGCTTCCCCCAACAACTGAAAACTCCAGAAAGAATTTCTCTTGTTTGGGGCCTCTTGCCTAATTCATCAGATTTCCAGCACTCTGGATCATACACTGTATCACCACTAGCTCACCACACTAGCTCACCACTTTCTCTCTGTGCTCCCTGAGTTGACTCTGGGTATGATCTTTGTGTGAGGTATGGCTGGGTTATCTCTTTTTCCCCAGTCACTCTAGGAGAGCTCACCTGAACAATCCTTCTGGTCTATCACCTTGCTCCACCCTTACTAAATTCTTTCTTTTGACATTTCATCACTTTTCTCTTAGTGAAAGTCTTAGCACAGACCAAGGGTTTCTGAGTGCCCATAGGAACAATGGGGTATCAACATCAGGCCTCAGGATTAGAAGCACCTATAAAAATTATTTCTCCAATTTTGCTGGAGGAAAAATAGATAATAGATACAACACTCACATACACAATACATTGTGAATTTGGCTGCAGTTATCTTTTTCTTTGGCCTCCTTAAATTCAGCTAAACGTAACTTTAACTGTGGTCATTCTTTCTTTCTTCTCTTGGGTATGCCAAGCTATCTCCCTGCTCTCTTTTTTTCTCTCTTATTCCCTACACTCTTTTTTCTCTCACTCCCTCTTTCCTTCTAAAAGATAAAATAAACTTACACTTTATATCCTAATCTTGGTATACAGAAATTCTTTTTTCAACCCTCACAGGGCACCTACTGAGCTTTCCACCCTAACAATTAGCCCTTGAAATTCATACTTTTGACAAGTGTAAATCTTTGCATTTCTATATAAATTTTCTGATCAGCTGATCAATTTCTACAATAAAAGATCTCCTGGGATATTTATTGGGACTGTATTGAATCCACAGATCAATTCAGCAAAAATGATATCTTAACAATACTGAGTCTTCTAACTCATGAACAATGTATATCTCTAAAGCTATTTGTGTCTGTCAATCATGTCAGTTTGCAGTGCACAGGTCTTTCTTCTCTTCTGACAGATTTATCCTTAGATAATTTACATTTCTGAGGTCGTTACAAATGATATTGTTATTTAATTCAATTTCTAATTGTTAAAGTGAGTGAAAATGAGAGTCACACTTAATTGAGGTTTCTTAAGTCAAGATTTTTAAAGACAATTCTATAAAAAGCATAGCCCACAAAATACATGTTGAGGATTTGTTATCAAAAGGAATTTTTAATACAAAAGACATCAGTTGGGAAAATGGACAAATCTGGCTCAAATCCAGCTCTCTAACATTTTAAGAATGGACCATGTGCCTTGGGGCAGGTTGAGGGATAAGGTGACACAGCTGTGAAGTCTGCCCAGCGCCCTCAGAATCTCAATTCCTTTGTCTTGCAGAAATCCACTCTTTCTAGGAAATAACCCAAAAGGTCAAGTACTTAGTGAAGGGAGAGATTTATTCATAGAGCCAACAAGGTTACAGACTTTTCACAGAGGAGGTTGAGAACTTCACATTTAAAGGGAAAAGAGAGTGCACAAGAAAAAGGCAGGGATGAGGGAGGTAAGCAGATAAATAACTGATAGTATCCTGGTAAAGTTTTATTTGGTGCTCAGTAAATCAACATAGATAAGATTAATATTATAAAAGTGGGGTAAAAGAAATAGTCAATGTTGTGATCTTCCCTGGGTGGGTAGAAGAGTGATATTATTTCTTCCTAGGTTTGCATCTGTGCAGATAAACCTGTAATTGACATTTCAGAGTTTATTTAAGCAATAGCCCTAAGGTTACAATTGACATACACTCATTTTTAGGGATGGTATATCTTGAAGAGTTTTTATGGCACTCTTAGTTCCATTTCTTCAACTCAGAGCATTTATCAACCTCTGCCTTAGAGATGTCATGGCCTGAAGTCTCTCCAGGTAGTAAGCTGAGACAGTTATAGAGCTAAATTTTTTGTTTTCTATTTCTCAGAAACAGAAACAGCCCTTTCTTGTATGATAGCTAGTGTCTTGAAGTCTGTTGCTTTATATATTTTGTCTGTTTTCTTTTTGCTGTTATTTCAGGTTGGAAGGTATATTTATTAGTCCCCATTACTTGGCCAGGAGTGATGTAACAGTATCCTCTTATACTTTCAAAAGATCCATAATAAATCTGTTATGTAAATCTTTCAGATTCATCCCTAGATAATTTAAATTTTTGATGCTATTGAGAGAGGATACCCAGAAAATGTAAGGTCTAAAAGAACAGAGGTCTTCTGAAGGAGCGCCATGGATATACCTGCAAGGTTGGATACACCTGCAAGGTCCTCCCCATGGTGACTCAGGTTTTAGGAATTTGTAGAAACTTAACTTCCTGGTACCTGTAAACTAATGCTTGCTTCCACTTCTGTAAAAGCCTGCAGTTCTGTAAAATCCAGAGCCATTTTTTCCAGTTTGATTCATACTGACCATTGAGAAAGGTACCCATGGGCTGGAACTTTTTGATCAGGGATAAAAAGGAGAAAACTGAGCCAGTTAGGGAGTCCAGCTATTTTGAATTCTTTTGTGATATCGCTCCACTGGCTCAAATAAAGCCCTTTCTCTTTTAAACACAGTGTTTGGGTGCTCTTTCTCTCCATTAGGCAACACTGTTAGAAATGATATTGTGAAGTTCTATTTGGTTCTCGGTAAATGTACATAATTTGTTTGGATTCTCATACCTGATGTATTCAAAGCAACAAGGGGTTTTATTGCTTTTGCATCAGATTTTGATCCTTAAGCCCCTGTTAATTATTTTTCTCTTTTCCTTTCAAATTCAGTGATTAGTCTCCTTAAGAGAAAAGATGGCAATACCCATATGTCCATAATTCTGATTTCCTCTGGAATTTATAAAATTTGTACTCTGCCTCAAACTTTAAGGATATTCATTTGTCATCTTTTTTTGCTTCTGAGAGGCAATGGAAGAAAATACAGAGAGAGATCAAGGCATTTCTATCTCTGCAGAATAATTTTTGGCATATCTCAACTCCTTTTTGCCAGTTCTGTATATTTAGTATCTTTCTTTTAATCTTTAGTACAATCTTATTTTCAAATTTTTGTTAAAGAGTTGGGTTATTGTTTTTATTTTCTTTCTTATACAGATCCTCAGGGATTAGAGGATCTTGAATTCCATTTTTGGTGTCTTCCATTAGACTATGTCATATTTGCAATTATCATAAAGGCAAATAAAAGTTTTATTATTCTTTTCTTGAAATAATGTTCTTTCATCATCACTCTCAATCACATTCTCATTCCCCTTATTAAATAATATTACAGAAGCATCTTTCAACTTTTTTGTGTTCCAGTATTTAGATATTATTGTGGCAATGCATTTTATGTTATCTCTTTTTTTACTTAACAACCCCTATCTTTTTCACTCTCAAGTTTAAATATCTTCAACAGTTATAGGACTTCTTTATATAAGGTAATATTCTATTACTATCTTCCATTTTTAATTATTGCATTATATTAGCATTGTAGAAGGAGATTTTACTTACCAAAAAAAAAAAAAATACTTGTCTCTAGTTTAAGATTCTATTTTGAAACAACTTTTAACATTAAATTCAATTTAAAATATTTTAAAATAACTTACGCAGGTCCATAGTTGCATACAAACATTGTACTTGTAGGATGTCCAAGGTTAGGACAAGATGCAGCTGCACAACCAACTTTATCTGATTTGGCCCAAACTACCTATAAAAAAATCAATTTTAAAATACACAGAACCATTCTATGTAAACAATGGATGTGGGAATAGGTATAATATTTGTTATGCTATCAAAAAAAATATTGTACAGAATTATTTGTTGGTGATTTTTTCTAATCATTATTATTTAATTTAAAATGATTATTTTGTGAAGGCTACCTTTATGAGGGCTACTTAATTAGTTTTTCCTCACTCATCAGTGAGGAAAAATCACTGATTCTCATAAATCAAAAGGATAATGGAAAACATAGGCAAATCATAATTTCTTTTAGATGATTTATGAAATATGATGGCTATCTAGAAAGTACCCAGCCATTATCTGTTCTCACTGTGTTAGCACTGTCTGGATACTTTCTGGAAATCCCTGATATATTTAAATTTTCTCCTAAAGCATTTCATGAAAACAACATTATAATCCAACTATAATGAAAACAATAACTCAGTTTCATTTTTCTCAGAAAAACTTTACATAATTTAAAATTGTATTTTTAATCTTGTGGTTTTAATAATATTCTTACTTTTTTCAAGTCATAAGAGACAAATAAGGATTAAAAATATATTGATTAATTTAAAAAACTGTCTGCCATGAAGATGGTCAGTCCTTATTTTTGTTTATTTGCAAAGATTATTCAAAAGGAAGAAGACATCTATGAAAACTAGCCATGAAAGGGAGATAAAGAGGTAAAGGACAGTCCTAGTCCTTTGTGACAATGAAAGAATAAAATCTTTCTTCATTGTTCAAATGAATAAAGAGGAAAATGCTGGCTTATTCCACCTGAAAAATAATTCAAGGGAATTTAACACAGAATAGATCTTGACACAGAACTAAATTTTCTAAACTCATTTATTTTATAGCTCTGTTAGCAAAACACATTAACCTATTTCATAAAATAATGTATTAGTCACTTTTTACCAGGGTGTTGATATAGCCAGAGTCAATAGTTTTACAAAAGTAAATTTTAATAGCTCTTTGATTGCTTAAGATGCAACAAAGCACAGTAAAAAGCACAGTGAACTAAGAATTAAGAGATGAGCTTTGCTTCTAATCATACGTGGCTTGCAGAGTGACAGATCAATTTTGAGCTGTTTACCATTTAATAAAATGAGATTAAACTGGACCTTTAAAAGATCCTTTCCTTTTGAATATTAAATCAATGAACTATACAACTGTCAAGTTTATATATGTTCAAAATGATGTGTAACCCCACTATGACATTCTATTTGCTTAATGTAACAAAATTGAGATCTTTTTTGGCCTTTGAGAATGGTAAAAATAAATATTGACTGTATATAGTTCTAAAATGTACTGTTTTTATTAAAGTAACTAGGTGTAACATTAATACAAATATTGACTATAAATCTAAAACAAATATCAGTGTGTGGTAAATGCAAGAAATTTTTACCTTATTTTGTCTAAAACATCAAGCAAGATATATTTGTTGAAGAATAAGAAGAATGCACCCATTCCTAATTACTTAAGCTTATGTGTAAGTTAGCCAGTGAAGAGTAACCTGATGCAGCAATGTTAAGGAAGAAGGGACACTTGGGAACAGGTTCCTTTTTCCTCACATTCTTCTCCTTTAAGAAGACAAAGGGTATAAAACTCAGCCTTCATGCCATTGTATTGTAGATATTGCAGATATTGTATTCTGCTTGTTGTCAGGACATCTGACACTTGATTCATTCTCTATTACTATTTCCAGAAACAGCCAAAGCCTATTTTTTACTCACAATATCTATCTTGATGCCCAGGAGGGTATCGAGACTTAAAGCATCCTAATGTAGAACAAAGATTGAACAGAAGAAGAATAGGAAAGCTTCTATTCTTTGTTCACTGAACTTCTGATAAAAATGACTTGCTTTAAGACACTGTATAGTAATTCAGCTTGTACAAATGGGTAAGTTTGGAGGAGAAAGTGAGCTCTTTCATTGCTTAAACAGACCTTCCTAGAAGCTCTGTACCATGTCTACAATTAAATGTTGACTAAAAAGTGAATTCCACTTTCTACCAAAAGGGAATAGCAGGGACACATTGACATTTCTATCTGAAACAAATTGGGAAAATTCTAAGTGTAATGGTTTTCAAGTTACAGGCCATTAGACATCAAAAGATCAGGCCCCTGAGAATTGGGGATAGGGGAAGGGAGATACAAGTTTTCTAATTGTTGCAGTGCATTGGTCTGAGAGAGTTTCCAGATTTTGACTCAGGGAGTGAAAACCAAAAGCTTGAAGAAACTAAAGGATCTGAAATGAGAGTCTGAGGAGACCAAGAAAGCAGGATTTAGGGAGCAAAGTACTGAAAAGGTGAGAATTCTACAATGGCACAGCCGTGGTGATCTGTAGAGGGTTTCATCACAATTGGGCACCCACAGCTCAGTGGTGTGGAGATCTATAGAGGATTCTCATCACCTATTCAAAAAAGTACTAATCAGAACATCCACATGAAGGAAATACTCTGCCTGGAAAAGAAACACCAATGAAGACTTAGCCAAAGCCAGGAATAGGAACCACTCCAACTATCCAAACTGGAAAAACTTCCTATTTCTCAGGGCATTGAGTAGAGAATGCAGAAAAAACTTGCCTCAGTAGTGAGTGATAATCAGTTAGACTAAACACTGCTTTCATTGTACCTAACATATTTTAAAAGTAGGAACCAGAAGAATCAAAGCAATTTCAAGTATTTTAACTATGCTCCCAGAAGACAAATAAAGAACATTTGTACGTATACAAATAAATCCAGCACCCAACAAGACAACATTTATAATGTTGGGAATATAACAAAACTTACCCAATGTGATAAGAAGAACATATGATTAATAATGAAGAGAAAGCTCATCCATAGATCTGATCAGAGGAGCACATCTGGATCAGAAGATGTCAGGCATGGAGGAGCTTCTGAAAGGCAACCACCAGATGCATTGACACAGGAGATGAACCATTTTCACTGAGAAGCAATTGGAAGCTTTGAAAGTCTTGTATGATAGAATAAACCCAAACCCCAGCCTTCAGAAAGAGATGGCCTCAAAAATAGACATACATCCAACAGTACTGCAGGTTTGGTTCAAGAACCACAGAGCAAAACTCAAGAAAGCAAAATGTAAGGACCTTCAGCAATAACCTCAAGCTCCACAGCAGCCAGAGCCCAAGGGTGGAGTCAAGACCAGGCCCTCCCAAGAAGATAGGGTCACACAAACCAGAACCCCCAGCAACAACTATCTGATAGCCAGTGTTGATGCAGATTCCCAGGCACCCTCATACCAACTCAGCCTGTACCCCAATGTTAAGGGCACTGCAGATGTCTTCCCTGGCCACAGAATAGTCCACTTTGGCTGCTGTCAAGACCCCAACATTTACTGCCTATATCCCATTTTAGAATCCCAGGTCAGTGTCCTCTGCTTCCCTTCTAATGTGTTTGGCTGTAAACTTCTGCAAAGTAGGGAGAGACCCTAGATGTAAAAGGTCACATGTAATGATTCCCACTCAAGAATCCTAGCAGTAGACAGACACCACACAGACAGGTAGCGTTCAGAAACACATGGTATCAAACTTTCACTCTTCGCAGATGATATAATTGTTTATCTGGAAGACACCAGAGATTCTACTACAAAACTCTTAGATGTGATCAAGGAGTACAGCAGCGTCTCAGATTACAAAATCAACACTCATAAATCAGTAGCCTTTATATATACCCACAATAGTCAAGCTGAAAAAACAGTCAAGGACTCTATTCCATTCACAGTAGTGCCAAAGAAGATGAAATATTTGATAGTTTACCTAACAAAGGACATGAAAGATCTCTATAAAGAGAACTATGAAACTCTAAGAAAAGAAATAGCTGAAAATGTTAACAAATGGAAAAACATACCATGCTCATGGCTGGGAAGAATCAACATTGTTAAAATGTCCATACTACCCAAAGCAATATATAATTTTAATGCAATCCCTATTAAAGCTCCACTGTCATACTTTGAAGATCTCAAAAAAAAAACTTCATTTTATATGGAATCAGAAAAAAATTCAAATAGCCAAGACATTACTCAGAAATAAAAACAAAGCAGGACAAATCACAGTACCAGACCTCAGACTATACTATAAATCGATAGTGATCAAAACAGCATGGTATTAGCACAAAAACAGAGAGGTAGGTAGATGTATGGAACAGAACACAAAACCAAGAGATGAACCCAGCTACTTACCATTATCTGATCTTTGACAACCCAATTAAAAACATTGAGTGGGGAAAAGATTCCCTATTTAACAAATGGTGCTGGGCAAACTGGCTGGTGACCTGTAGAAGACTGAAACTAGACCCACACCTTTCACCATTAACTAAGATAGACTCTCATTGGATTAAAGATTTAAACTTAAGACATGAAACTACAAAAATACAGACGAAAGTGTAGGGAAAACACTTGAAGAAATCAGCCTGGGTGAATATTTTATGAGGAGGACACTCCGGGCAATTGAAGCAACATCAAAAATACACTACTGGGACCTGATCAAACTAAAAAGCTTCTGCACGAAGCCAAGAACACAGTAAGTAAAACAAGCAGACAGCCCTCAGAATGGGAGAAGATATTTGCTGGTTATGTCTCTGACAAAGGTTTAATAACCAGAATCCACAGAGAACTCAAACATATTAGCAAGAAAAGAACAAGTGATCCCATCTCAGCGTGGGCAAGGGACTTGAAGAGAAACTTCTCTGAAGAAGACAGGCACATGGCCTACAGACATATGAACAAAATGTTCACCATTCTTAATCATCAGAGAAATGCAAATCAAAACTACTTTGAGATATCATCTAACTCCAGTAAAATTAGCCCCATCAAAACTACTTTGAGATATCACCTAACTCCAGTAAGATTAACCCGTATCACAAAATCCCAAAACCAGAGATGCTGGCATGGATGTGGAGAAAAGGGAACACTTCTACATTGCTAGGGGGGATGTAAACTAATACGCTCCTTTTGGAAAGATGTTTGGAGAACACTTAGAGAACTAAAAATAGACCTGCCATTTGATCCTACAATTCCTCTCTAGGTATATACCCAGAAGACCAAAAATCACACTACAACAAAGATATTTGTACCAGAATGTTTATTCCAGCCCAATTCATAATTGCTAAGTCATGGAAGAAGCCTAAGTGCCCACTGACCCACGAATGGATCAATAAATTATTGTGGTATATGTACACCATGTAATATTATGCAGCCTTAAAGAAAAATGGAGGCTTTACCTCCTTCATGTTTACATGGATGGAGCTGGAACATATTCTTCTTAGCAAAGTATCTCAAGAATGGAAGAAAAAGTATCCAATGTACTCGGCCCTAATATGAAACTAATTCATCTAATTCATATGAAAGCTATAACCCAATTATAGCCCAAGAATATGGGGAAAGAGGAGAGGGAGGGGAGGGGAGGGGGGAGGATGGGTGGAGGGAGGGTGATTGGTGGGACCATGCCTATGGTGCATCTTACAAGGGTACATGTGAAACTTTCTAAATGTAGAATATAAATGTCTTAACATAATAACTAGGAAAATGCCATAAAGGCTATGTTAACTAGTTTGATGAAAATATTTCAAATTGTATATAAAACCAGCACACTGTACCCCATGACCATATTAATGTACACAGCTATGATTTAATAAAAAAGAAAAATAATAATGAAGAGAAAAATCAATTGAAACTAACACAGAGCTAACATAGATGCTAAAATTAGCAGAAAAACATTAAAATTATTTTAACTGTATTCTTATATGCTTGAAAAGCTAGATGAAAGATCAAACATACTAGATATATGCATTGAAGATATTAAAAAAGCACAAACTTCTCATGATGAAAACTTTTTTTTTTAATTGAGACAGAGTCTGACTTTGTCACCCTCTGTAGAGTGATATGGCATCATAGTTCACAGCAACCTCAAACTCTTGGGCTGAAGCAATTCTCTTGCCTCAGGCTCATGGCTGGGATTTGTTGTCATTGTTGTTGTTTAGCAGGCCTGGGTGCGTGTGGCTGGCGCCCTAACCACTGAGCTGTGGGTACCCCATTGTGATGAAACTTTAAAGGTCTAAGATTGAAAATAAACTAAATAGGATTAACAGTAAACATTACAGAAGAAAATATTAGTGAACTTAAAAATATAGTCATAGATCCTTTTGTAGTTCATAAGCGTGATGATTGGGTTTTCATGCACATGCATGAGATGTGCCTCCCACAAATCTTGTTATGATGTTGGCACATTACCCGTCAACATGAAAACTATAGTCATAAACTATCTGAAATTAAATAGAGAAAAATTCAAGAAAAAAGAGACAAGACCACCTATCAACTATTAGACAACTTTAAGTGGCCTTCTGCATGAGTAACTAACTGGACTCTGGGATGAAAGATAAGAGAGTAAGATGAAGTGTTTCAAGAAACAATGGCCAACACTTTTCTAAATTTGATTTAATTATGGATTCACAGTTTCAAGAAGCCTAGTGAATAACAGCAAAGACATATGAAAAAAACTATCATAATTATTTTGAAATTGGTCAAGATCTATGATAAAAGATAAAATTTAAAAGCAGCCAAACGAAAAAAGACACATTACACACAAAGGAATAAATAAGAGTGTTGTAGTAGGTTTCTTGTTGGAAACAATGTGAGTAAAGTGAGGACCGAGTAAACGTTTTGCAAGTACAGAGAAAACAAACTCACTATGAAAAATTCTATTCCCAGTAAAAACTCATCCAAATGAAAGTGAGTTTTCTTGCAACTCTAAAGAAACTCAGGAGAAAATACTAAAACATTTTTCCTGCAATTGAAATGTGCACAAATAAGAATTAAACAATAAGATGTCAAATATTTACCTGTGTGTAATGGCCACAAACTTCAGAACATGATAGATTATCATAGTCATAAAATTTATATTCATCATACCAAGCAGTGACGGCATATTTTGGTGAAAATGAATTTAATCCACCTGACCAAATATTTTCTCCAACATATTCAAAAGCAGCATAGCATTCATATGCTTTATCTAAACAGGTGTTATGTTTAAATGTGCACTTGTTTGCCCATGATCTAGCCAGCTCCGCTAAACCTGCATCCCAACTCTGAAAAAAAAAAATAATATAATTTAGTTATACATCTTTGTTTGTATTAAAATTATTCTAATAATCATAATCAATTAAATGTTCTTGGTATTTTTTGTGTTCGTCATCATTTATTTTTAGTTCTCCTTCAGAAACAATACGGTTCATCATTGTATTTCCAGTAACAAGCATATGCTCTGGTACATTAGAGATGCTCAACAAATAAATCTTAATGTAATTAAAATAAGTTAAGGTCATTAATGTCAGAATTCAAAGTCTAGTAAATCAGAGAGTCATGAAAATTTATCACAAGAGTGAATACTCATGATAATTAAAAAGGAAAAATAGCCTTGGGAGGCAGAGGCGGGTAGATCGCCTGAGCTCACAGATTACAGACCAACCTGAGCCAGAGTGAGACCTGGTCTCTAAAAACTAGCTGGGCACTGTGGTGGGCGCCTGTAGTTCCAGCTACTTGAGAGGCTGAGGCAAGAGAATCACTTGAACCCAAGAGTTTGAGGTCGCTGTGGGCTGTGACTCTATAGCACTCTACCAAAGGTGACATAGTGAAACTGTCTCAAAAATAAATAGGCTCGATGTCCGTACCATAGTGGTTACAGAGCCAGCCACATACACCAAGGCTGGTGGATTTGAACCTGGCCTGGGGCTGCTAAACAACATTGACAACTGCAACAAAAAATAGCTGAGCAGTGTGGTGGGCGCCTGTAGTCCCAGCTACTTGGGAGGCTGAGGCAAGAGAATCACTTAAGCCCAAGAGTTGGAGGTTACTGTGAGCTGTGACACCACAGTACTCTACTTAGGGCGATAAAGCGAGACTCTCTCTCAAATAAATAAAATAAAATAAAATGGAAAAATACTAGGAGTAGAAAGAATTTAATTTGATCAAATAGATTTACAAAAAAATACAACTCTCTATGTGAAAATGAAAATTCAGGCAATGAAAATCCCCTCAAGATTGCGGCTAAAATAAGATGTCTGCCCTCATTATTTCTGTATGCCATTATACAAGAGATTAGGTGTATTATAAAATATAAGAGCTATTAACACATTTGATAAATAAATAAAATGTACAAGGATTATAATTATTCATTATTAACAGATGGCATAAATGGGTACATTAAAATTCAAATGAATACATAAACAAAGGTGTCAGAAATGAGTGAAACTATCCTAAGTTACCAAATACAAGGAAAATATGCTAAAATCAATTGTATTTCCATATGTACTCTACACATGAATTACTTCAAAAATAGAAACTGTGCAAATATATTTAATAAATGATGTACAAGATGCCTATACTGAAAACTGAGACATCATTGAAAGAAAATTTTAAAGACTTATAAATGTTCATGGACCAGAAGATTCAATATTGCAAAGAATGTTGATCTTGAAACTTATTTCTAACAAGAATCCAAGTAGCATTTTTGGTGAAAATTGGTTATAAAATTTATATAGAGTTACATAGGACCAAGTATAGTTAAGATCATTTTCTAAAAGTGAAACTGGAAACTTTCTTTACCAGATATCAAAATTTATTACAAAGCTACATTACAATATTGTGATATTAATACAAGGATAACCAAATTACCCATTGGAACAGAATAGAGTCCAGAAGAGTCCAGAAACAATTTATGACAAAAGTTGACAGTCTCGATTTTGTTTTGTTTTGTTTGAGACAGAGTCTCACTCTGTCTCTCTGGGGTTGAGTGGTATGGCATCATAGCTCACATCAACCTCAAGCTCTTGAGCTCCAGTGATTCTCTTGCCTCAGCCTCCTTAGTAGCTGGACTACAGATGCCCCCCACAACGCCAGGCTATTTTATAGAGACAGGGTCTCAGCAATTGTTCAGGCTGTTCTTGAACTCCTGAGCTCACACAATCCAATCCACCTGCCTCAGCCTCCCAGAGTACTGGGATTACAGGTGTGAGCCGCTGTGCCTGGCCTTAATATAGTTGTTATTGCCAAGATTATTTTTTTAATCTTTTTATTTTGAATTAATTATAAATTCACAAGCAGTTACAAAAATAATATATGGAGATATTACGTAGACTTCATCTAGTTTCCTCCATGGTAAAGTCTTCTGTAACTATAGTATAATATCAAAATAAAGAAATTAACATTGCTCTAATTCACACCCCTTTTTAAGATTTCAACAGTTCTGCATGCATTCATTTGTTTGTATGTAGTTATTATCCAGTTTTGTCACATGTACAAATTGAAATAATCACCTACATGATTAAGATATAGAATTGTTACATCATCACAATATCACATATGCTAACCCTTTAAAGTCACACTCCCAAACACACCCTACCGTATCACTAATCCCTGGCATCACTAATGTATTCTCCATTTCTGTAATTTTGACATTTCAAGAATGTTATATAAATAGAATCCTACAGGATGTAATTATTTTAAGATCTGAGTTTTATTTACTGAGCATAATGCTTGAGATCCATCCACACTGCTCCACGTATTCAGAGTTTGATTGTTCTGTTCTTTCCTTCTTTCCTTCCTTCCTTTCTTTCTCTCTCTCTCTCTCTCTCTCTCTTTCTTTCTTTCTTTCTTTCTTTCTTTCTTTCTTTCTTTCTTTCTTTCTTTCTTTCTTTCTTTCTCTCGACAGAGTCTCCCTGGTTTGCCCTGGGTAGAGTGCCATCTCAGCAACCTCAAGCTCTTGGGCTCAAGTGATTGTCTTGCCTCAGCTTCCCTAGTAACTGGGACTACAGGTGCCCGCCACACCCAGCTAGTTTTTCTAATTTTAGCAGACATGGGGTCTTATTCTTGCTCAGGCTGGTCTTGAACTCCTGAGCTCAAGAAATCCAACTGCCTCAGCCTCCCAGAGTGTTAGGATTACAGGCATGAGCCACAGTGCCTGGCCAGTTTATTCCTTTTTATTCCTGAGTAGTTGTTCCATGGTATGGATGTACCACACTTGTTTAACTTTCACCTATTGATGGAAATTTGGAGGCTTACAAATTTGGACCATTATAAATAAAGCTGCTGTGAATATCTGTGAATAGTTTTTTGTGTATTAAGTTTTTCTTTTTCTAGGAAAAAAAAGAAAAGGAAAAAGTGCCCAGGAGTACAGTTGCTAAGTCATATGGTAAGCGCATATTTAGTTTTTTTAAAGAAACTGCTAAACCATTTTCTGGGGTGGCTGTACAGTTTTTCATTCCCACCACAAAAGTATGACAGATCCATTTTCTTTACATCCTCACTATTGTCACTATGTTTTATTTTGGTTTTTCTAACTGGCCTGTAGTGATATATCATTGCAGTTTTTTTGTTTTTGTTTGTTTGTTTTGCAGTTTTTGGCCCGGGGCCGGGTTTAAACCTGCCACCTCCAGTATATGGGGCCAGCACCCTATTCCTTTGAGCCACAGGTGCCACCAATCATTGCAGTTTTAATTTGCATTTTCCTGATGGCTTATGTTGTTGAACATATTTTCATATGCTTATTTTCCATCTGAATATCCATGTGGTGAAATGTCTTTTAGTCTTTATTTTTTAGTATAATTGAATTGTTTCTGTTTGTTTTCACTATTGAGTTTTGAGAGTTCTTTATATATTCTAGACAGGAGTTCTTTCTGAGATACAAGGTTTGCTATATTTTCTCCCAGTCTGTAGCTTGTCTTCTCATCTTCTTAACAAGATATTGGAAAGAGGTTTTTCATTTTGATAAGGTCCAATTTACTGACTTTTCTCTTAGATAAGTCAAAGCAATTGATTCATTTCTAAGTCAATTTACTGACTTTTCTCTTAGATAAGTCAAAGCAATTGACTTATTTCTCTCATTTCTAGTCAAAGAAATCAGCCATATTAAGAAGTCTCATCTAGCCCTACATCCTGAGGATTTTTTCTCCTTTTTCTTAAAAAAGTTATATAGTCTTATGCTTTGCATTTAAATCTATGATTCATTTGGTGTTAATTTCTGCGTATGGTAGAAATCTTAGGTCAAAGTTTTTTTTTTTTCCTTTCATGTGATGTCAAATGGTATTGCAACACCATTTCTTAAATAAAATATCCTTTCTACCCTGATTTACTATTGCATCTTTGTCAAAAATACATTGTAAAATTTTTGTTTGTCTAGTTTTGGGGTCTTTATTCTGGCCCAAGCAATACTCCTGCCTCAGCCTCCTAAGTAGCCAAGACTAATGCCACTGCACTTGACTTTACCCTGTCTTGATTACTGTAGCTATACAGTAGATATAGTGATCTCTCAAATTTTATTCTTTTCCAAAATTCCATTACCTATTTTTTTTTTTTGAGACAGAGCCTCAAGCTGTCACCCTGGGTAGAGTGCTATAGCATCACAGCTCACAGCAACCTCCAACTCCTGGGCTCAAGTGATTCTCCTTCTTCAGCCTCCCAAGTAGCTGGGACTACAGGTGCCTGCCACAACACTGGGCTATTTTTTGGTTGCAGCTGTCGTTGTTTGGCGGGCCTGCCAGCTCAGGTATATGTGGCTGGGGCCTTAGCCACTTGAGCGACAGGCACCGAGCCCCATTACCTATTTTCATTTCTTTTCATTTTCATATAAAATTTAAAATAAGCTTCTTGGCATCTTCAGAAAATATTTCTGGAATTTTGATAATAATTGCATTAAACTTTCTGTTTAGTTTGGGGAGAAATAACCTTTTCTTAGTTAAGTCTTCTAATTCATCAACACAGTATATCTTTCATTTATTCAGATGTCTGATTTCTTGCATTTTTTTTTTTGAGACAGAGCCTCACTTTGTTGCCCTCAGTAGATATATAAAGGATTACCCACATTTAATATGTACATGGTGATGAGTTTGGACATAAGCAAACTTCTATAATACCATCACCACGATCACAAGTTTTGAAGTGTATAATACTGTATGGTTAACCACAGGCGCTAGGTTGTATGGCAGGTCTTCAGAACTTCATCTATAACTGCAACTTTATACCTACTAAATAACAACTCCTTCCCTCTCACTGGCAACCACTGTTATATTCTCTCCTTCTGTGAGTTTGAGTA